TCTCATACTTAAAAGCCAAGAGAAAACCCATCATTTGTTACAGAGCAAAGTTACTGTCTTACTGATAGCTACAATTTCCGCAATTTTCTTGAGTCCGTGCCTGAAGTAAGGGTGCTGATAAATGATTATTTAGACAAGTAGGATGGAAGCTACAATTATTTGGTTCCTTCAGTACTTATTTAGCATGCATTTGCATTCAGTGATCTATGTGAGCTTAGTTTTAGTTCTTTTCCCTCCAGTTTATACTTACATTTGTTTAGAAGAATAAACAGTCTGGAAACAGCCTCTTGCAGAAATGTACGGAAAGGCTGCGTACTATAGACCCAAAGTGGTCGGACCCTTCCCTGGACCCTGCGCAAGCGGGAGCTACGTGCACCGGGCTGCCCTTCAATAAACAGTCTGTACTCTAGGATGCGGTCATTTGGATTTCAAATTAGTAGAAGTTGGGTGTTATGGTTTTTAAATGAATAAACATGGTCAATTATAGCTTGACAAGAAAAGCTATAGTTCAGCAAATGCTCTGTTTTTCTTACTAATGGCAACTGCTCTGGTTGTATGCTTGTATAAAAAAATGCTGTCTAGATAACATGTACATTGTCTAAGGGTTTATTTGTACAGATTCAGGGAGTTTTCGCAGTTCTTGCTATGTGGAGCCTGCAATTTTTATTTAATGCCAAGTAATTAAGTTCTTGATCAGAGCCGTTCAATGCATTTATACTGATAGATGTAGTGAGTGGGCACAATCTGAACCCAGGGGCATCTGCACCCACTTTTCAAAATATGCATTTTAAGCACGTTTTAAAAGCATACATGTTCACAAATGTGTGTGCGCGGCGCAAAGTTTTGTGAAAAAATGTCTTTTCGTTTTGTCTCCGCAAAAAAGACAAATTTCAGTGCTTCTAAATAGCATTTCACAACACAATTTTTTGTCTTTTTTGCACAGGCCACAAAAAAGTTATTTTTCCGTGAAACTTTATGCACGCACATAGAACATGAAGACGTACCCATGCCACCTTTTTCGGATTTTTTTAGCATTTAGAAATGTGTTTTTCAAAGTGGGTTCATATGTACCCAGGTTCATCCATGCACTTCCCTAGATGTAGTAGTATGAACAATTGTTTTCGAGATATGATACTTATTTTCTCAAAATATTAGAATCATTGAGCCATTCTGCAGCTTAAGAATAATAATACACAATGAAACAAGTAGTTTCCTCCTCATCTTAGCCTATCAGGTTTCTGCTCCTAAAGATGTTCTCAAAATTTCTTTATAGACTTGTTTCATGTTATGGGACAATGTGCTCAGCTTAGATACTCAACTGAATCAGCAACCATTTCTTTTCCATTCAAACTTTTGCATATGGTTGATTTAACATTCCATACTTGGTAAATCTTTATGCTTACCTATTGTTGTAATTAGCGTGTGGATGAACATATCAACTAGGCTATTTCTCAAAGCTTTGGAAGCAAACTGGACCTCACTAAATAGAGCTGGGATGTTTCTATTAGATGTCTGGTTTAATAAAATGCTATCAAAAGCTGAATACGATATTCAGATTAATTTCGTTTAGTTTACTTCTGCATTTCCTTCAGTTATCACATTTCTGTAGGGTCGTCTTTGAATCACCTTTTTCTCAGTCTTAAGTTAACAAAGAATTTTGACATTGCAGTCCCAAAGTTTTTCCTAATTTTGTGGCAATTGTTCATAAATGCTGGTTATTAGGACATCGCTATAGGATATGTCATTTGCGAGGGACTTCTGTTATGATAACTCTGATTTTAAACCCCGGAGAGGTCTTACCTGGTGGAAACGTCTTCCAAGGACCCATCACATGCTAATGAGTTCCACACAGGTATGACACTGAGTCAACAATGTGATGTCGAACCTCGGTTTACTCTGGCATTTGTATGCTATCCTAAATCATGCTATTGAACATCTTAATTGGTTCTTTCTGGATATGTGTGTGCCAATTTATATGCAATCATATGCCTAGAACATTCGACAGGTCAAGACATTTTGAACAAATTTGCCAGACTTCCTCAAATTACTTCATCAAGAAGGGTGGGGCCTTTGTGTTCCTGCACATGAACCATCTAATACCAAACTAACCCGATGGCTCTTATCCAAGCATCACAACATTGGAGAACAAAACCTATCCAAACTATACATTTACACAACGAAAATGCCCGAAGAAACCGGGCGCAGCCAGCAAAACCACATCAAGCCTTCTGTGAAACTACAAAGGACACAATAAACTAAATCAAAGGAATGTCTTGAACAGGGAGGACACATACATGCTTGCAGGGGACGCCGAGCTTCTTGAGCCGTAGCGTGCGGGTCTCGAGCAGCCTCTGGAGATCGCCTCCTACGGCCTCCTCCAGCTTCGCGGCGTGCGTCTCCACCCCCTTCCCGACCCCATTCAAGAACTCCACCACGCCTACCTTGGCTGCGCACAGGAATCCCAATCCACTTCACCGCAACGAACGGCGAAGAAAGAACCACAAAGTTTACGGATCAGGAGGGAAGTAACTAAGCGGGTGTACCTTGGTAGGGCTGGGCGTAGAAGGATCTCGCCGGAGCTCCGGCGCCGGGGTGGAGGAGGAGGCGGCGCACATTAGATGCACAGGCCAAGGCCGCCATAGGGGAGACTGAGGGCTGGATCCTTTTTTTTTTACAATCTACTGAGGGGTGGATAGCCACGCGTATCGCGCATTCGCGCTGGATACTCCTCAAACGCGCACCCTCCAGCGGCGCTTGCGAATGCCTATTAGGCCGGCCTAGTTATGCCGATCTTTTTTTTTTCGTTTTTTCATCCAGTTTCTCCTGACTTTATTTTTTCTCTTTTATTTATATATTTACGATTATTTTTCCAATTCGTGAGAATTTTTCGAATTCACAAACCTTTTTGAATAAATGATTTTTTTCAAATTTACGAAATTTTTAGAAAAATACGAACATTTTTGAATTAACGAACATTTTTTCAAATCATGAACATTTTTCCATATCAGAACATTTTTTAAGTTAGTGAACATTTTATGAATTCACAAAACATTTTAAATGACATGAAACTTTTACAAATCTGCAAAAAAAAATCATGTTTTTCCAAATTCGTAATTTTTGTTTCACAATTGCAAATATTTTAAAATTCACGTTGATTATAAATTCATGATTCTTTTTGAATTTGAAAATTTTTAGTATTGATTTTGTTTTCAAATTTGCGACCATTTCCCAAAATCATGATTATTATTTCAAAAAAATTAACATTTTTTGAACTCATGAATATTTTAAATTACATTTTTTATCTTTGTGAATATTTCTTCAAATTTCAAAACATAGTTTTGAATTTTGTTAAGAATGAAAAATGAAGGAAATTTTAAAAAAACTGAGAAGGGAAATGTATCTGTACCAATATAAAAAGACCCAAAGGGACAGATCCAAACCATCTCTACCGTCAAATCATGTTATCTAGCGGTTCAAATCGCTCCAATGTTGAGCATCAAACACGTTTAACGCTCTAGTTACCCATCACTGCCATTGGTTATAAACACGTTTTGACTCAACGCTATCCCATGAAATCTGCCATGTAATTAATATCCTACTATTCCCGTAAAAAATTAATTCATATCTTACCAAATACCAACATGCAACAGATATATCTTACCTAATATAACATGCAACTAATATTCTACCTAATATAAACGTGCACTATATGTATGAAGAAAAATATATAAATCAAAAGCTAATATTTTTAATGTAGAAATATTCCATACTTGCACTATATGTGAGTAAAGAGGTATGCATGTACAGTTGCAACAATTAAATTGGGGCATTTCACAATCTTTGAAAAGTAAACAAATAAAATAATTGTCTGATGTACTACATATATCTAGTAACAAAAAATAAACATGTCGATATGGTTTGCATGGGCTGAAAAATAATGTTAGTGGAGGGAGATATGGCATGCTTAGTGAGAGGCTTGCATGTTGAGAGAACTAGATATGATTCCCCGCGCGTTGCTGCGGAAACTATTGCCTAAAATTGATGTTTTACTCCACAAACCAGCTGTCTCTTAAAAAGGATTAGCAGAATAATAAATAAACGATTCTTTTTTGACGCCATACATTAGAATGTGGTCCAGATAGACATGTGTTTGGCGTCAAAAGAGAATCGTTTATTTATTATTCTGTCTGGACTAATGACATTTACTTTGACTCATCTCAAAAAGTAGGTAAATAAATGTCACTAGTCCAGATAGAATCATAAGGTTCCTGCTTCTAAACATATCTGAGGTTTCAACTTCTAAACATATCTATAGTATTATGGACTAGAACTATGCAGAAAAATAAACATCCAGTCATCTTGCATTACCTTCATAAAAAATGACATAATTGAGGTGACTTCAGTACCCCTTTTTGTGTATACATCAAGATTTCTAACAAAAAATGATCGAAAACATAGAGGTTACTTACAGATCATGCCATAGGAGGGCACATCCTAGTTAAAAACAAATGTGAATACAGTGTTTCTTGTTAACCTGGGACATATGTAACAATGGATGCATGCACAATGTAATAGAATCAGTCAATTCTAGCAGCTGCATAACATTTTAGCACATCAAAAGAGCATAATACAGGAAAAACGCCATAATTATCAGTTCTTGTTTAATCTCAACGGGGCATAATGTCACAATTATTACATAGAGATATATTGATCCTAAATAAGAGTACATGGAGCAGTATTGCCATAATCTAGCTCCAGATAGCCCCTTATAGGACATGATCCATTAAAAAATGTAGTAGTACAGATCTGACACTTTCAACCAACTATGTGTAGATGGAAGATCATAAACATAGCTATCTGAATTTATATAAAACCTGACAGAGGTGGCCGATCAAGATGAGCTAATTTCAGATTAGCCGAGCAGGCGGCCATGACGGTGCAGTGGCGACCGAGAGGACTTGAAATTCACCATGTTCGATACATGTAATACGAGCAGGAGATACACATGGACGGCGATGATTTTTAGGGCAGGAAATGAATAAATCTCGAGAAGGACACGAACAGCTTGATGTGGTGAGGATGAAGGGAATGGAGAAGATGAGGAGGAGGGAAACTCAATCAGGGGCGTTGGCACCAAATACCTTAGATGACGGCCAATGGGAGCGGAGTTGCTCCACTTCTCAACGGGGATAGCGATATGACTACTCTTCTGTGGCGTAGATGGGCGGATCCGCATGCTTCTGGGTAACCGGGCGGTGGTGGCAGCCGCTCTTGAGGAGGTCGCCGAGGTTGAGCGCGTCGTGGCTGCCGACACCTCCTGGCGGCGGATCTGACCGGGCACCTGGATCCGTGGAGAGCAAACAGAGAAGCTCAATCCTTGTCCGTCGGAGGCGGCGGTGTTCATGCACAACATCTGGCTGGGGCGCCGTCCGGTGGTGCGTGGGTGCGGGTTGAGGGCGTCGCCTGCTCTACCAAGATGGAAAAGTATATAGATACGGGAGATGGGCCGATGGGCTTATTTTATCAGTTTTTATACCAATTCAGCGGCAATGGAAGACAAAACATGCCCGCTTCGACTAATTACCAGAGTTCCCCTAAAAAAAGACTAATTACCAGAGTTTGATCACATGATTTGTGAGAAAAATTGCTGAGGTGGCATGCTGTTGATGTGGATAGTATGTATGTCAAGAGAAATAAGGTAGTGGGGATGAGCTATTTAGGTATTATAGATTAGAAGTATGAGATACGGTTTGCATGGGCTAAAAAATAATGTTAGTGGATGTTGACGTGGCATACTTGATGAGGCGGAATGCTTGGATGTTAAGAGAATTCAAGGTAGTGACAATCAACTATTTAGGTATACTAGATAAAATGAACCGGCTCATCATAAAATCGTGAAGTGTTATGTGATGGAAACGTTCCAGGAACCTTCCACGCTGGTGTGAAGCTTCCGTATGATTTTTTCAAGGTGTTTTCCGGTTTTATTTTTTTATTTTTCTCTTTGTATTTTCACTGTTTTTTTTGTTTTTTCTTCATATTTTTATGTTTCTTAGTGTCTTCCATTTTTCCAGGTTTATTTTATTTTTTATTTTTTATTTGACCTTTTCACTGGTTGGTGAGGTGAGGTGCATGGGCGTGGAAAATTTTACTCGGCGACCGAGAGGTCGAGTATATTTACTCCTCACGGCCGCTCGAAGTAAAATTTGTACTCACCTAGCGGTTATATGAGTTCGGCTAGTTCCGATTTAAAGAAGTAAACCACAAATTTTACTTCTCTAACCGGTTATAGGGGGGCCGGTTAGAGTTGCTCTTAGGACTCGATATGGGTGAGGCATAGCTCGCACCCGATGGGAAGGATTGTTCGCATATGTTGCCTTCGTAAGTGGACGTCAACTCTATATCGGCATCCTCTTTTACAACTAAAACTCCCTTTTTTATTGATATGTGATAGCAGTTACATCTTTTAGTAGCAAAGAGGAAGTAAAACAATCGGGGCATCATCAATCCACTCATTACGAAAACTAAATCTAGCCGCACGGGCTAGTTCATGGGCAACACCATTTACTTTTCTAGGGCAGGACTCAAAACGAATTGAACTGAAATCACATGCCGAATGGTAGCAATCGTTAATGATGGCGGCTGCATTATTTGCATAGTGTCCCCCTTGTTCATAATCTCTATTTCTAATGGACGAGTTGATTGAATAGTCCCACCACTTTCGTCTGATTTTTTTTCGTCCGGTTTATTTTCGCCTCACCTCCCACCACCACTCCCATGTTAATTTTTTCTTCTTCACACTTAAAACCGAATCGTGTCTGATACTTCTTCCATTTATTCATGCTTGCTTTGGCAGGTGTCGATTCAATCAATCATGTAAATATTTGGTAATTAAGAATTCATAAATAATACCATATACATGAGATCACTTTTCAAACAAATCACCTCCCTCTCCAATTTATTTCTCCCATTAATCTCCTTCCATCCTAATAAAGCACGCATTACATTCCTAATTAAGGAAGAAAATAAAAAAAGAACCTCCACCCGCACGACCCCTCCCACGCCTCCAGTGCGCCGCACCTGCCACCACGTTGCTGCGTGCCACCCCCGCCTCCAGTGCGCTGCCTCCAGTGCCCCGCCACCCACCGCCACGCTGCTGCGTGCCGCCGGGCGTGGCGGCGGCGATCTCCGGCCAGATCTGGCTGAGGATCTTCACCTGCAACTAACAACGCTATAAGAGGGGCTGAGCAAAGCGATAACAAGCTCCAATCTTCACCTGCAACTAACAACGCTATAAGAGGGGCTGAGCAAAGCGGTAACATAGCCAAACAACGGTTTGCTAGGACAAGGTGGGTTAGAGGCTTGGTTTAACAACACGGGAGGCATGATAAGCAAGTGGTAGGTATCGCAACATAGGCATAGCAAAAGAGCGAGTAACTAGCAAGCAAAGATAGAAGTGATTTCGAGGGTATGGTCATCTTGCCTGAAATCCCGCAAGGAAGAAGAACGAGTCCATGAAGAAGACAAACGGACGTAGTCGAAGGGGTCCTCACAAACGCGACGTTACCGGAACCAACCCGAAGAAGCAACACCGGAAAGAAGCACACAACATAGTAAACAAACCACACATGAACATGGTATGA